TGTACTACAATGCTGCCGGGAATTCCCCACTTGATATTAACCGAAAGATTTTTTCTGCCTGGCAAAGAGAAAAGGAAGAAGGGGTCTTCCCAGAAGAATATTTTGCTTGTTATACGAGCTTGTCTTTGTCATTGTACTGATTAGTTAGTACGATTACGACGCAGAAGATCGAATGATGTGTAGAAACGCAGATCGTTCGACTGGCTTGAATACTTTATAATTGCATCGTGAGAGTCGTGAATCTTCACGTGTGAACAATTTTCACGAAAAAGGGGAATTTGTGCGCGACAGATTCAATAATATCAAGCAATATCAAGGTAATGTATATTGAAATTGTGACAGACTTGAAATATTAATGAAATCTGGTTGTATTGACTTCCAAAAAACCTTTTTTTCTCGGAAGGCAGGTGCTATTAAATAAAAAAAATAAGTACATAATGTGCGGAAAACGTTATTTGCCGTTCGTCATAATCTCCTGTTCTAGAGAGTTTTCACCAAAATTCTCATTCGATTCCATTTCAGTGCAGATCAAATTTACAGTATTGTTTCCATTAAAAAAGTAAAGATTTATTGAGTAGATGCTGGAATGAAATAAGCACAGTTAATCCAGTAAACGAGAATGGATTAAAATGGACTAAAATTTTTTAATGCTTCAAATCCATGAAAATGGATTGAATGAATTGAAATGGATTAGATCCGAGGTGACACTAATTTAATATTCGAAAAAAAAAATAACATTCATATTTAAGGGTTACAAATTTTTATTCTTAAGACATTTATAATTATACTTGATATATTAACTACTTCAAATTGGTATTAAAAAAACGTATCTTAGTGGAATTTGAACCTAGGATCTTTGGATTATGAATCTTCTACGTTACTCGTTACACCATTTCTTCAATTGATAAATGTGTTCATTATTTACTTCAATTATAACCAGCTAAACCAAATGAAAATCTGAATCCATTTTAATCCATTTCAATCCATTCTCGTTTGCTGGGAAATACATCTTCGACATATAAATTTAATTCTATGCAGCATTAAATTCTTCAGTAGAAAAAGGTCCTTCTTTTGATCATATAGATTAAAAGATTGCTTTGTTTTAAATTTTTAAATCCATTCATTTTTATAAAACTGAATTTTAATTATTTTATGAATTGTAAAGTCGTATGTGATGTATTTGATAATACAGATTCTTAAATTATTGTATGGAGTCTGTTACTGATACGTATTTTGATTTGAAATTGTGATGGAAAGAAAACATGTTCAAAATCTTGAATAGACCTGATAGATTATTTTGTTTGAGTCTACTTAAAACAGAAGATACAAGGAAAAAAGAATATATGGTTATTTTTTAACAAATTTTAAAAAACCAATCTGGAATTTACTTAATATTAATTTAATCAATAAATTTCTGCAGTATTGATCAAAGTAATTATTAAAAATCTGTAGGATAAAAGGGATTATATTAAGAAAAACAGAAAAATTGTTAGTAAGATATTAAAATTAATTATACAGTAATAATTAAATTATTAAGTTATTAATATTCTAAAGTGTTTATGATCGCTTTTCATCCTTTGTATTGCAAAAAGAAATCAAACGTTAAGTGAACACAAAGTTTGTTTCAATGTATTTATAGATGACTCGTAAAAGAAACAGGAGATCTACTGGAAGGAAGCATAGTTATCAGCCACCCGAAGTGTCTTCTCCTGTGGCTGAGACAGAGGTTCAGATCATTTCCTATTCTGAAAGTGCCGATTAGATTGTGAAAATCCATTTATTCGAAATGAAAAAAAATATTATTTTTCTCAATGTTGCATTTGATGTTGTCTTTTAGATCTTAATCATCAGAGTCATAAGTTTATTTGTTCTCCTTATATCAGTAAACATATTGTGTCATTGATATGTTTAGATGCCGTTATCATGAGAGATAAGTTTCAATAGATAATGGTTATAAGTATTGCTGAATACTTTGTAATAACGAGATTATAAAATGCACAGTTTACATACGATAATGGATTTTCCTAATCGATAAACTTTTTAGTAATCGAGACTTTTACAGTATATATTTATCTTATGCTTTTAACGCTTCCATGGGTATTCATAAAAGCTGTATGTTTCGCAGGTTGTCTCTGTGCCAGATCCATTGTTAAAGAGCAAACCTTTCGTGAACATTGGAGTTCACTTCAGTATCAAACTCCTTGTTCTGATGAAGTGAAATGCACTGTTCAAATGTTGACATTTTAATAACACTTACACAAAAAAAAAAATCCAAATGGCACCAGATATTTCCGTCAGTTTTTTGAATACGAATCTGGTTTTCAAATTGTTCTACCACGTTATAGTTTTGAGAAACTGCTAGCTAAAATTGAAAAAGAGTTTTTTTGAAATATTTCGTATATTTATAGCGATATATGTGAGGTTTTGAAGTTTTATTATGATTAAAATAAAATACGTTCTTAGGATTTTTTTCCTCCTCAAGAAGAATTTTTAGCCATTAAAATTTAGTGTCGGTTATGATTAATGAGATATTGATGATAAAATACTAAGTTTGTTGTAGAAAAACCGTGAAATTATTGATGATTTATCAAATAGCTTCTAATTATCTATTTGAACTTAAGGAATTTTTTTTTATAAGTTAAATATGAGTTTGATATCAAAATTGACAAATTTAAAATTATGAAAAACTTCTATACTTGCATTTAATTGATCTAAGAAATCCTTAAATTTAAACAAACATAACAGAAAGTTTTTTGGTAAATTGTTAATGACCAAATTGATAGCTTTTTAACAACAAATTTTAGATTTAATCGTGAATATCATTAACCATATCTGATACTACAATTTCCTTTACAGGAAATGACTTGTCTCATTCCAGGCTTCGAAAAAAGTTATTTTTTCGAACTTTGTAATAGATCTGGACACGGAGACAACCTGCGAAACGTACAGCTTTTTTATATTTGTTTCTTGAATCTTAGAACTTTAGTGAAGTAATCTGTAATACGTTCCATAATGATATTACACAGGGTGGCTACTAAATATTCTAACAGATTTTAAGGAAAAATTTCTTTACACAAATTTTAGACGAAAACTTTATATGATCATATTATATGACTATATTACGTCTAAAACTATTAGTTTAGAGGTACGATGTCAAAGTTGAAGAAAAAATTCAACTCTAACATCGTATATCTTTGAAACTAAGCCCTTTCGGATATATATGGCAATTTGGAATTTACGTTTTGAATTTATGTAAGAAATCAAATGTAAAAATCTTAGAGTTCTTAGTAACTACATTATAGAGATATTCTTAAATTATCAGACATATTATAAAATTATCATAAATTGCAAAAGAGAGACGAGATAGCATTCTTGAAACACAAGTAAACTTTGGTTGCAGACTCCTTTACAGACAGCGCAGAAATATAAGAATGCAGGAAATGTACGTTTTAAATTGGGAAAATATAATGAAGCCATTGCTGAATATAATAAAGCAATTGACATTTGTCCAAAGGAGAATGTGGAAGACCTCGCGATTTTTTATCAGAACAGAGCGGCTGCATATGAGCAATTGGTAATAAAATTGATGATACCGTTAATAGAAGCATAAAATGAAAATTTACTTAAATTTATTGATGAAATTTATTAATGTAGTATAAGTGTCTATGCAACTATAATTGCAATTTGCAGAAAAGATATAATAGTGTGAAGGCAGATTGTACAAAAGCGTTAGAATTGAATCCAAAATATGTGAAAGCTCTGCTACGTCGGGCACGTATTTTGGAGCAATTAGGGGATTTTGAAGCAGCTTTGAAGGATATTACTATTGCCTGCATTCATGAAAACTTTTCTGATCAAGTGTCCCTTTTAAAGGCAGATATGATCTTGGAAAAGCTTGGTGAGTTACACATTAAAAGTATTTAGTATTAAATATTCGCGGCAAACTAGAGTAAGAATTGAAAAATAAAAGAAATTTTATGATTTACAATTAAAATTATTTTTTAGTGGAACAACATTTCCCGAAGAAATTGACAGACAGAATAGACACATTTTTTCTAATGCCAACTATGCCTTTTATCGAAATAAATATTAGATCTTTCTCTAAAGATCCAATACTTTCTAGACTTGAATATCCAGAAAACATTCCAGAGTAAGTATAAGCAAGATTGTTTTTGTGTAATTAGACGTTTAATTTTTAATGAGTTTGTTACCAGATTTATCAAGAAACCATTACAAGCGTTAAAAAATAGGGAGTACCATAATATAATATCGCTGTGCACAGAAATCATTGAAAGTCCCAAATTTGATATATTACCTCCCTCTAAACTAGAGGTGCTGTTATTACGGGCTACATTTTACTTAATTTGGCAGAATTACGATGCTGCAATCCACGATCTTAAAGTTATTTTGTCTAGCGAAGATGTATGTGATGATATAAGGGTAAACGCCTTGATAAAGAGAGCAATTGTATACATACAAATTGAGATTCCAGAAATGGCTTTCAAAGACTTTGAATTAGCCCTTATCATAAATCCAAGTTGCAGTGATATCTATTATTATAGAGGAGTGGTATATTACTAACTTAAACATTGATCATATTTTTTTATTGCACATATGTAGATTCATCATATATTATGAAGCATCGTAACAATATTTATTATTTAAGGTATATAAGGAAATACGAGAGCTAAGCAAAGCTAAGCATGATTTTGAAAAAGCCGTTGAATACAATCCAAACTTCAGCATGGCACACATGCAAAAATGGTACGCAAATTATCAGTTTGCATTGTTGACCGAAAATATATATTTAATCGAAATTACTGTGAGAGACGTTGAGAAAGCTCTCAATAAGTACTCAAATTCTCCTGAGTGTGTATGTTGTTATGTTTTATACGCTGAGGTACATATAATTACCTATAATTTTGGAAGAAAAAATTAAAATTACGAAAAAAATAATAGTAATAAAGCATTAGTATTATACATTTTGATTTATTGATGGAATTTTCAATCTTTATATAGATGATGTTCAGAATTCAACAGTATCAAAAGGCTGATACTTATTTTGTTAAAGCAATAGAAAAAGATCCGGATTACGCTATTGATTATTTCCTATTGTGGAACTGTAATCTTATTTATATTGAGAAATACGTGATGAAAGCATTAAAATCGGATAAATGCTCTGTTGAAGGCAAGCTTAGAGGTTTTGAAGTATTAAGAATTATCGAAATAACACGGTATGTTTTTGATATAATTATTTCTTACAATTATTGTACATTGCAATTTTCAAAAGGGACCATTTGCAATTATATATATTGCTTACATAAAAAATCTGATTAATAAAAATATTTCGAATCCATTTTAGAGGGAATATAGAGGAAGTAATAAAATTAATTGATATGGCTTTAACATGCTGTCGTACATTCAAGGAACTACTATACATGTATAGTGAGAGCTCTATAAAAATATGTGATATAAAGCTTCGATTTACACAAATCGTTCATTTTCTTCGGTCATACTCTCAATTCATCGATATACAAAATGCCGAGGAATCCGACAAACATATTTCCATTGACAGCGATGGACCATCCAAAGTGCTTTCTCCTGTAGCCGAGTCGGAGGTTAAGACAGATATACCTTATATGGAATCGTTTTCCATTGACTGCAAAAACACATTTATCCGAAACTCACAATCAGAGAGGATTTTTAATTTCGGATAAATCCTGTTGTATCTTACGATTATGAACGTCTGCTTTTTGGATCCCAAAAATATCAAAATAATAGATTTATTATTTCCTTATCTTAATTTATTTGCTAATTGATAGATATAGCTATATGTCATTAATATCTCTAAATATCGTTATCACGAGCGGCAATTTTCAGTAAATAATATACTGTTTGCAAATACTCTGAACTTAATGAGATTTTGATGCACAGTAGATATACAGATTTATCTCTTAGAATTTCAATGAAATAACTTGGAGCGTTTTCCATAATGACATGTCTATAATATATATATGTCTATAAACTTATTATAAATATCAAAAAGATAGTATTTTAATGACAAATGCAAGTGAATTTTTTTGTTTCAGACTTCTTTACAAAAAGCGCAAAAGTATGAGAACGAAGGAAATATATATTTCAAAACGGAAAAATATAATGAAGCCATTGCTCAATATACTAAAGCAATCAACATTTGTCCTAAGGAGAATAAGGATAAACTCGCGATTTTTTATCAAAGTAGAGCGGCTGCATATGAGCAATTGGTAATAAGATGTTTGTAATATTCATGATAAGCTTAATATAAAAATTTGATTTCAATTGATTGTCGAAGTTGTTGGTGATATATGTGTCATTGTGTGTACAATTGTTGCAATTTACAGAAAAAATATAGCTCCGTAAAAGCAGATTGTACAAAAGCGTTGGAACTAAATCCAAAAAATATTAAAGCTATGCTATGTCGAGCACGTGTATTGGAGCGAACGGGGGATTTAGAAGCAGCCTTGAAGGATATGACTACCGTGTGTATTTACGAAGAGTTTTCTTATCCTACTTCTCTTATAAAGGTAGAAATAATCTTGAAAAAACTTGGTGAGTTACATATTAAAAGCACTTTGTATTAAGTAAAAGTTATTCATGGCAAATTAGAACAAGATTTGAAACATAATAGAAATTTAATTACTTACAATGAAAATTGTTTTTAGTGAAACAACATACTTATGAAAATTGGGCAAACAAAAAGTTACTTATGCCAAATAAGCTTTTCATCGAATGCTATATTATATCTTATTCTAAAGATCCAGTGTTTTCTAAACTTCGATGTCCAGAAAATATTCCAGAGTAAGTACAGGCAGAAGACTGCTTTTGTGTATGTGATTATTTATTTTTTAATGTGTTTGTTAATAGATTTTTCAAAAAGCCATTACAAGCGTTAAAAGATACGAAATATGATGACGTAATACCGTTGTGTACGGAAATTATTGAAAGTCCGGAATTTAATACATTACCTTCAACTAAACTAGAGGTGTTATTATTACGAGCTACATTTTACTCACTTTTGGGCAAATCCAGTTCTGCATTCCAAGACTTAGAATGTATATTGAACATCGAATATGCATCCGATGATGTAAAGATAAACGCTTTGTTAAAAATGGCGGGCTTATATCTAAAGTTCATGGATGATCTAAACATGGCCTTCATAAATTTCGAATTAGCCATTAATATAAATCCGCATTATAGCGATATTTACTATCACAGAGGACAGGTATTAAGCACATTAACATTGAGCATATTTTTGTTGTATGCATATAAATGTACATATAAAATAATGTAACATTTTGTAATTTTAGACATATATGCACATGGGTAAACTAAACAAAGCTAAGCACGATTTTGAAAAGGCTCTTGAATACAATCCAAACTTTAGCATGGCATGCATACAAAAATGCTATACAGATTATCGTATTGCGATGTTAAATAAAGATGTAAGATTAGTCGAAGCGGCTGTGAGAGCTTTCGAAAAAGTTTTTGAAAAATATACAAATCTTCCTGAATATGCATTTTGTTATCAATATTATTGTAAGGTATATACAACTACTTATAATTTTTTTAAGAAAAATAATTAGAGTAACAAAGAGATGGTAGTAATAAATTATGACCATTTACATTTTGATTTATTGTTAAAATTTTCAATTATTTTTAGATGATGTCCGAAACTCGACAATACCAGAAAGCTCATATTTATTTTACTAAAATAATAAAGAAATATCCGAAGGACACATCTATGTCTTCAGTTTACCTGCAGAGAGCCTGTTTGCAATTTGATTGGAGCAGTAATTCTGAAAGTAAAGCTGAATACCTTAAGAAAGCAATAGAATTGGATGAAAAATGCAGTTTTGCGTATAAATTATTAGGAATAGTCGAAATGAAAAAGTACGTTTCTAATCATTTCTCGTAATTATTGTACTTTAAAATTTTCTGAATGAACTTGTAGTCATGTATTAACTCATATAAAGAAAGTTGCTTTAATGAAAATATTCTGAATCCATTTTTTTAATTTAGGGGAAACATAGAAGAAACAATAAGATTGTTTGATAAAGCTTTAGTATACTGTCGTACAATTGAGGAACTGCTACACCTATACCTCTTGAGAGACACAGCAAGAATAGAGCTTAATATCAAGAATCAATTCGGGAAAAAGTATTTCGGTTTTTTCAGTCGTTATCTTGGATTGCAGCTGTTATAGCAGAAGGCGGAAGATGTTGCAAAAGACGGAAGATTTATCCATCGAGAGTTTGTTTATGATTTTATGTTATAATACTATTCTCTCTCTTAAACACGTATGTATA